TATTGTATTGTAAAAACTACAAATTCATCTTTCATTTTCCCTATAAAATCTAAATTTCTCTTTTACGCAAACTGTATGGTGCAAAACATGTTTATTGCTATAGCCAAAGCTTTTCGTAACAACAGTTCATCGTTTCTATGCCTGATGCAAGTTTTCTAGTCATGCTAAACATTTATTTCACTAAATATCTACACATACTAAAATAACCAGCTATATCATGTATTGCCTCACTTCCTATTATACGATATTATGTTACTACCACGTGACCTCCGATCTCGACTATTGTTGAAGCAAAGTGAGATAAACCTTACACAGCTTTTAACAATACTATACCCAGACCCTCTAATGACGTGTGTGATAGTGTTTGATGTTGTTTCTGGATCAGTTGAGGTCCTAAATGTGCTGCTGTATGATATTTTTCGCTTCCATGAGAAATATTAAAGGGTATACTATTCGATATATTGTCCTGTGATGCATTGTAAATATATGGCTGTGGCATATAGTTCACATATATGGTGGCACTCCATAACAATAGCATAAGCAAAACGATCCTGAAAGGTGTAATAAAGCCTGTGATCTATGTATCAAGGCTTAAATTAATAATACAATTAAGCAAAACAAAATATCATTGAAATTGACTAATGTTAAAACAGAGTATTTTTAATAATATCTAAAGCATTTTTACGTTATATATTATTTGCTTTGACGTTACAAAAGTATATTTGGCGTCATATTTACTCTTCCTTTCACACCTTTATAATTCTATAATACTGAAGTCTTGTATTTGGCAGCGCAGATAACACCGAATACTAGAGATATACTAGATACACATTTTACTGATACAATTCTATGGTTGATTAGATAAATTCTCTATAATATAGATTATCATATGTATTACTGTTTTCTATGTATGTTAAAACTATAAAGTAGTAGTAGTATTCGCATATCAAAGTTAGCAGAATGGAAGTTCGATCCTTGATATCAGTTGGTGGATGTTTCCTGATTTCCTAACGTTTAGAAACCTCACTGCTTATTTAACAACTTACGTCAGACAAAGAGTCAAGAAGGAAGTCATGAATAAACTAGCTGGATTTTCTATGCATTTATCTCTACATGTTCACTGCTTTATTTTGGAGGCAAACTAGGTTGTCTCATTGGACGTCGTTGGAGCATGATTATTGGTTCTCGTATTTTCTGGTGAGATGTTCAGTTATATTTGTATTTAATAATAATAACTAATAAAAATAAATTCCAAGAATGCTATCAAAGTCATGGAAGAAAATTATTGTAATATACAATAACAATATAACTGTAAATAACCAAAGTTACAATAATGTTTATGTTAATACAGAGACATCGTTTGAGATTTAATTGGAAGAAAAACACACATTTTTTACTGAAGTCCAGGAGTTTCTACAAGCTATTGGTATTTTATGAAGTTAAAATTAAAATATATATGTATATATATCTCTATACGTTTTATGTAGTTAGTTTATGTATCTTAATGTCCGTATATATAAGATTTAATCCTATACGCTTCTGTTTATGTAGTTTATGTATTTTAGTTTACGTGTTTGTGCCTTAAATACAGTCTTTTACGCTACTGTTTTATGTAGTTTATGTATGATGTGAGATAGTAGATTCTACTTTTATTCTGTTATGATTTTGTTTACAGTTAATTTTTTCAACTATCAAGTTTTAGTTATATTAAAGTGCTAACTCACCTTCTAGTTAGAGCACGTTAAGTTTCAGTATGTATGTATTATGAAACTGACACGAGCTTCCCCTAGTGATAACACACAGATATTAAAGTTTTGAAAGATTATGTAGATTAGTTGGTCACATTAGATGTATCCTCGTGATCTAAGCACTGAATTATAACCTTGCCTTCAGTTTAATCAAGTTAGTTCACGAGATATAGTTAATACAAATTATTGATGATTCATACTCGATATCGTTATTGATTTAGAAGTTATTTAAATTAGGAGATTGTATTTTTGTTTGTTTGTTTGTTTTATAGCTAGGATTTTTATTCTTCTGCTTCTTTTTCCTGTTTCCTTTATTTATTGAAATAATTAATAACATTGATATTTATGTCATATTGTTCATTAACGTTAGTAGAACGTTCCTGGCCAGGGACGTATTTGTTAATTGTGATATGTTTTATATTCGAACAGTTTGAAAGATTTATTTTGGATATCTGTGGTTGTCAAAGTTTAATAAATTATTTTTTTTTGTTAGACCCTGGTTGTAGCGGTTGTTTGTTTTAGTCGGTTACAACATTAGTGTACGTGTGTATAAATACAATCAAATCAAATTCGAGGCAGAAATTCAGGTTTTAAAATCTTTCTGGCTTCTAAAAAAAATTGGGGGGTCTGAAAGACAACCCGAAGTGGTCAGAAACTTTAGCTTCTCTTCATCCCGTGCGGTGAAAAGGTTAATGTCAAACGAATTTTGATAGAGCCACTGGGGTTTGTTTTAAATATAACACATAGAGTGTATTGTTGAGATACGCGTGGCGACAAGAAAGATGATGACACAAGCGCGCCTGGAGAGCCGTGCAGAGACCATAGTTCTGTAGTCCGAGTGGAACACTGCATCTATTTGTCCACGAGACGTCAGTTAAATGAAATGTTTTTGTTTTTTTCACTGCACAAAAAACCCTAATCGCTTGTAGCAGCCCGTGAACTTCTGTCAAAATGTGTCCTTCTCTTCCAACAAATTTCTAATATGATTTCTCTGTGTTAATATAAACATTACTGTGGCTTTCGTTATTTACAGGTGTATTGCACACTAGAATTATTTATATCTATGAACTTAATAGCCTTGTTGAAATTGTTTTTATCAGTTATTATTATCAAATTCATATATATAAATGTACATCTTACACACACGAATACTAACATACAAAAACTTCATAAACAGGGGCGTATAGGATTGTAAATCTATCAGACTCTGTCTAATCTGTTAATCCTAATATCTCTTCAACCCTAGAAAGTTTTCTTTTCTTTAAATCGAGCTCAGTCTCTCAGAAATCTATTCACATGGAATAACGTTCACTCAGACTGCATCTCTCTGTTCCAATCCTAGCCGACTACTCTCTCCTATAGGACTGTAATGCACATTAGCTATATAGCTTATAGAGTTTGGTTCAAATATGGTCCAGTCACTAGAGGTAAATTTATTACTCATAGGTCCTGAAATAAGTCGAATGGCGTAACTCTAGGATAGACAGAGAAGTGTAAAAACGTAGCCGTCAGTTACACAAATCGGAAATAACTTTTCTATGATGGGTACTACTATAATTCATTTCGAACTCTTCTTTCCCTAATACAGATGAGTTACCAAAAGATAACAAGCCAACTG